CCGGATAGCATTTCTATTGCTTAATGCATAATTGTGTTGTGAATATTCATCCTTAATCTGTGAAAAAGCATAAGGTTCAGAAAAATTATAGTAATTACAAAATGGTACATTTCAGGCTAGAATAGCAAAGGGGAAGCTGTCAGTAGAGGAACAAAAGAGAATGAACAGGGATGATCAAAAAAGAAAAAGAGAAAAAAATTAACAGCCAGCCTGAGTTGAAGAAAGAGTTTCTCATAAAGGAATGGGAAAGATGGAGAAATAGAGTGAAAGAGGGAAAAATAAAGAACACCAGTGATCTGAAAGGAAGAGAAAAAAGGCAGAAGAGAAGGTTTGGAAACAAGCACAGAGAGACAAAAGGAGAGAAAGTCCAGCAGGGTCTAAACACACAACCACAGAGAACTTTAGCTGCCTACTACTTAAGGAGTAGTAGGCAGCTACTTGCTGGTGAACTATTAAGATGTAGAACTTGACATGTGCAAAAACAGAATTGTTATGATGTGTCTTTTGATATTACAAAGGTTGTTAAGGTTTAATTGTCATTTTGAAAGAAATAATATCTTGTTTCCTACTAGTGTGTCACCCCCGTCAGATTTGTGTCACCACTGTCAGCACCTTGTCAACTCCATAATATGGAGTTTTTGTTTATTTTTCTATTTTGGAGAACCATATAGTTTCCTCCCTCATGATCTTCCAATAAAAATATGTAATTTTCTCAGTAAATGTGTAATTTGCATTATGCTTAATATGATTGTTTCTTATAGAGATTAAATACAGGCTTCTGAAAATATGTATGACTGTAACTCTAATAATAAAAAGCCAAAACAATCTTACTTTTAAATGTGGTATAATTACTTTGAAAACATATGTGCATAAACAATAGAATAGAGAAGCTGCTAATAGTCAAAAGAGCTGAAACAACTTAATTTAAAATATATATTTTTGCATTTCTTTGTGTCTGACAGTGTTGACAAAAACCTTGCACTTCTCCAGAAAAAACATAAATTATTAAAAATTGTTACACCTGGGAGATTGTACCAAAACATGGTGAGACAGCCAAAACTTTGTGTAACAATTATATGTAAATATGTTTTTGAAAAATCAAAAAATATATTTTAGAAAATTAAAACCTGTTTTGTCCCTAATCTCAGGAATCACTGTTAGTAAAGATTCAACATTTCATCAGTACACTCAATATACAATGTCTAGCTAACTTTGAATCTGCGTATTATTTTTAATCATTGTTGATAGAAGCTACTGCTAGCTAAGTAATATGGGAACAGAAAGGTTGCTAATGAGAACCAAAATATTTAGATAAAAAAACACACTTGACTATGAGGCTGCTGTTGAAAAAACACCAGTTTTTTATCCAAAGCTGGAACACTTTTTAATTGATGTATCCACAATCTTTGTAAGTCAGGTTAATTGTTGGGGTTTACAGTGTATATAGCCCCAAATCACAATAGCTGTTGCCTCATGGCTTGTAAGGTAGACTCTACAATAATAGAAAGAAAGCAGAGAAAACCCCAACAATCATATGACGTGCTGTGTGGGAAGGAAAAACTCCCTTTTAACAGGAAGAAACCTCCAGCAGAACAAGGCTGAAGGAGGGGCGGCCATCTGCTATGACTGGTTGGGATGACAGAAGGAAGACAGGATAAAAGATGTGCCAGAGATTACAAGCCCGATTCAGTGCAGAGAGGTCTATTAGCACATAGCAGCCCGTTCTCACTCCCAAGGCGTAACATGCCGACGTTTTGTCACGTCCCGCGGCGTTCCTGAGGAACGCGAAAGGAGACCTTCGGCGTTCTTATGGTACGCGGCAGGTTATGGCTGAAATCCAGTGCAATGACGCTCCTGCGGTAATCAACGTTCCAGCCCTGTATTCCAGCCCTAAACCTAACCTTATCCCTAGCCCTAACCATAACCTTTTTCCTGACCTTAACCAAGACTTTAATGATGTTAAATAGCGTGTTTCTAAGCGATTTGAAGAAAAAGAGCGAACATGTGTAGATTGAGTCCATGCAGTTCTCATATTTTCTCATTTTTCCGAGGTCGTCATTCAGGAACGTGGTGGGTAGCCGAAAACGTAATATGTTGACGATTTGTCACCTAGCGTAAAATGTTACGCTTTGGGAGTGAGAACGTGTTGCACATAGTGAGTGAGGAAGGTGACTGAAGAAGAAATACTCTGTGCATCATGGGAATCCCCTAGCAGCCTACACCTATTGCAGCATTACTACGGAAGGATTCAGGCACACCTGATCCAACCCTAACTATATGCTTTATGAAAAAGTAAAGTTTTAAGCCTAATCTTAAGGTGTCTGTCTCCTGAATCCAAATTGGAAGATGGTTCAACAGAAGAGGGACCTAGATCAGGATTTTAAATTTGATTCTTGATTTAACAGGGACCCAACAAAGAAAAACCAATATAGGAGAAGTATTCTCTCTTTTTCTAGTCCCTGTCAGTACTCTTGCTGGAGCATTTTGTATCAATTGCAGGCTTTCAGGGAGTTTTTAGGACAACCTGATAATAATCTAATAATAAATCACAGTAGTCCAGCTTAGAAGTAATAAATGCATGAACT